AAATAAGTAGTGTATGTGTGTGTGTGTGTGTGTGTGTGTGTGTGTGTGTGTGATATAAAAATATTTTTAGTAAAAAAAATGAGCTAAAGTTAAATGTTTCTCTCAGTTTTTACTGTGTATGCAATGGATTTCTTAATATTACTTCCAATTTCAACGAAAGTTCATCAATTTCATCAATCATTCTGATCAAATAAAAATAATTCTTGCAAATATAACATATTTACTATATGATGAAAATGATGAAAAAAAATTATTTCTTAAGTAAGTGCTTCAGATTTTCCATTTATTCCATATTTTTTAACTGTAGATATTATAGAAAACACATGTCAATTGTGTCGTTATTAAATAATAATTAAACACTGGAGTTTATAATAACTAAAAGATATAAGGATTTAATATATTTATAATATGGCGCAGATTTATAAATCAAATCATCAATGTTACAAAATACTATATATTCAATGCTATGTAACACTTTCAGGGAAGTGTTTACTATATATGCTGTATTCTTTTTTACATTCCCATTACAGCATCAAACTTCTCATGAAGTATAAATGCAATTCATATAAAAACATAACAGTTCATTTTTTTACTGCGGCATATTAAGCAACATATTTAAACCTGATGGTAAATACACGACTTGACGAGACCTGGATAAATTGTGTGCAATATCTTCCGCAGCTTCGATTTTTCTGAGTTCGACCAAACCATCACCTGATTCGCCCAGAGATTTCGCTAGTAAACTCGCAGCTTGGGCATCACCCTCAGCAGTGATAATAGCCGCCTTTTTCTGTTGTTCGGCTTTTTCTACCAAGAAACGAGCTTTTTCTGCATCCTGCTGTGCCACTTGTTTCAATTCTACTGCCTGAGTAAACTCTTTACCAAATGTTAAATGCGTCTGAAATTTTAAAATAATGATACTTTATGTGTTAATGTAACTTATTTCTTTGCAATAATACAATGCGTATATAAATAATAAATATACATAAGGGAACTTACAAGGGAAATATCATCCAGAATGAGTCCAAATTGCGCAGCCCTTTCCGTTAATTCTTCATTAACCTTTTGAGATACGACTTCTCTTTGCGTAATCAATTCACCAGCGTCAAATTGCGCAACAACAGCTTTTAGCACTTCAGTAGTAATAGATGGTAGTACTCTTTCATCATAGTCAATACCGAGGATAGTGTATATCTTAGGTAACGAATCAGGTACAGGCCTGAAGAGAATACGAAGAGTAATGTTTACATTCTGTAAATCCTTGCTTCCAGTAATGACTGGAACGTTTCTCGGACGTGAACGGATATCAAAAATAATTGGTTTTTGCACCCAAGGAATGAAAAAATGTGTTCCTTCTCCTATCACAACATTTTTTATACCAGCAAATCTATCAAATATAACTGCTCTGTGACCACCATCCACTAAAAAAATTTATTAACATATTTAAAATTATAATATAATCAAAATAAAATATATAATATATAATTATAAAATAAATATATAATATAATTAATAATGGAATAATAGATGTTATACAAACCATTGTATAACGCAGAATTGATAACACCACCTGCCAGTGCTATACCCAGACCAAGCTGTCCTATTCGATTGAAGAATTGTGCTGCCATATTTAAGTGCATATATTATCTATAAAAAATAAAATAATATTATATAATATCAAATGATGAAATTTGATATAGTATTATCGTAGTTAATTCCTAATATATCCTAACCTAAAATTTTGGAGAAAATAGATTTACGATATCTCTAGCAGTAAAAAGAAAAAAAATGATAATAACAAATATATTATAAATTTTTTAATTATAATCGTGCTTTATAAGCATATATTCTCTTATACTTCCTAAATGGAGCAGCAAAATGTATCTGGACCGGTTAAACCGAACAGTTTTTTTTAATCAATCTAATATCAATGTCTATTTTTTTATATTATACTAATATATAATCAATTTAAAATTAACATTAATTGTTAATGCTTGAATCAATTGACAGATAATTAAACAATTGATTCTTACGTAATAAAGCGTGAGTTTAGGATTGGGATACTCAATTTTCTTCACGCGTGGCGACGATAAGAGGAAAATGGAGACTATTAATTCGGGAGCTACACAAGCGCCAATGCCTGCAATAGTGGCGACTTCGTGTAATTTTGCGCGGCAATCTTAAATATTAATCTGTGAACGTGTGTAAGTGAAACTTATTTGCAAACATAAAAAATTGCATTATATCGATACGATAATGGATGCGTTATATTTTTCCTTGATTGTGATTATTGTTTTACAAGTTACATATACAATTACTAAAACTTTGCAAAAATTTAGATTAATGTCATCTGAATACTAATTTAATTACATATTATTCGATAAAATATTTGTTCATTGTTATCATCAGTTTTATATATAAGCTTATCATTTAGAAGATCGTAAGAAATAAATATTATGAGTAAAAAAATAACGCCCCCGGGTGGGCTCGAACCACCAACCTTTCGGTTAACAGCCGAACGCGCTAGCCGATTGCGCCACGGAGGCGTTTTGGTTTTCCTTTGATTCTATAACATATAAGACTCATACAGAAGGAAATTATTTGTTTTTAAATTATTTATAATTTAAAAACAATAATTATTGACAAAATTAATATTAATAATTTACTTAAACATTGGATATAAATATTAAAATATTGCCAATGTATAAAATAAATAATATATTTTAAATAATATATTTTTATGTTCAATAGATACGATACTTGGAGATACTTAAATAAAAATTAACAAATTTCAAATATTATTTCAAAAAATTATCTACAATAATTATCTACAATTCTCTTTCTTAAAAATGAGAATATGATAACATCAATTTGCAATTTGCAATTTGCAATTATTAACATTCTTAAATATTGGCGGGTCGGAAAAATAACTGAATTAATACAATATATAAATGGAAAATGAAAGTTTATTGTGTGTATTGATTCTCTTTCTGTTTCAACGCTGTTACATTTTGTTATTGAACAAAAATCTATTCTAGAGTTATATTGATTAAATGAAACGGTATTCTAACGGTATTCTAATAAGGAAATATTTGTTAGATCCAAATTATTAATTAAAGATTAATTAAAGTAATTAAAGATTTGCAACGGTGTAAACTTTAGGAAGTTTCTCTTTATGGATGCCGTCCATATGTCCGCATACGCCGGTCACGTGACCTTGCAAAGTAGTGTCTAACATCAAGGTCACGCTGCTGGAGGTCCACATTACCATCACTGGCACTCGTTGAGATTGAATCACAAGATGCTCGTTGTTCTGGGTGAGTCTGCAGTAAAAGATGCATTTTATTACCACCGATTTCTTAAGAAATTCCTGTCTAGAGAGAGCCTCGATTGATTATTAAACTTACTTGAACGCGTAAGAGTTCGGCTCATCTTTCGGTATCACGATTCCTTTCTCATACTTATCGATTACGTTGCCATCGACGGTAACAGCGGCATTGAGCTCGTTCGGTATAATTTCCACTTCGTGACCAGCAATGTACATCTTCACGGCTAATTTATTAACTTGCACGGATTTTACGAAAATAGCATACGTTCGGTCAATATGATCGCCGGATACAAGAGTCCATTTATCTAATATATTCAATGGAATCACGCCTTCATCCAAGGTGATCAAAACTTGCGGATAAACAGTACAGATCTCTGCAATAAGTTTACAATTTATAAGTAGAGAGTTACATTATTTTGTTTTAAACGCTGAATGTTTCTAAGCGTTATGATTTCTTGTGTAAGAAAGAAAAGAATTAATTTTAATCATGGGACTCACTGGACTGGCCTTGCGTTATTTTGTGCAAAGAAGCCAGGGAGAAACGAGTATTATCCATGCCGAAATGCCATTCTGGTTGCGATACTGGTTCGCTCATGGCCATACCCTTGAGAAGATGTTGCTGCTTTAGAGGAACTTGGACATATTCATATCCGCTGACCGGAGTGACGACGGTTGCATTGACATGGCTTAGATTGGAAGAGAACTCAATCATGATTTTCACGTTACCGTTTTCCGTACGATCGGTGATGTATTTCACATGCGGCAACTGTGACGCGCGTATGTGATCTTCGATTCTGGCGAGATGTGATAATACCTGTACAGGCATCTGAAAGAAGCACATTTTCTTGTTTAAACATTGTGATATTGATATCCGAAGCAATATTCCATGATACACATTTATGTTTTTCTTTATAAATGTAAAAAGTTGTTTTTAATATAATGGATAACGAAATACTCAAAATACTCAAAAATCAAACGAATTTAAATATTTGAAAAACTAAAGAATCAATTAACTGCATTATTTTTGTTTTATGTATTGTTATACTTCAAAATTTCATCGGCTTGTTAAAATACAAAAGTTGTTTCGGAAATTTATTTATTTATTTTTTTTTTACCTTCTTATACGTTGTATTAATAGTGTATTTTTTCATGGTCGTGTAGTATATGGTTTCGCGGAGACAATTCATAGTCTTGGCAATGTGGCCTTGTTTGATCTGGAATTGTGGGTTTTGAGTGTCTTTAACGCAAGTACCATGCACATTGTCGTGCATCATGTGCTTTTTCTGTTCTTCTGTCAACTCGCCCTTGACCGTCATTATGACCATCATATCGTCACGAACGCATTTATCGTCATCTGTAAATCCTGATGTCACAGTCATCTTCATGTTGGTCTCTTCTTTGGTGGTATCGACTTTCAAAGGATCTGTTTCGACAACCGGGTAATTCTTTTGGGCATCAACGCAGATCTAGAAGTAGAAATCAAAAACGTACATCTCATAATCGATAATATTATTTTAATCCTATTGATTTCAATCCTTTTTATTTATTCGTAACTCGAGTCAATTTTCCTGTAGTTAGAATAATAAATGCAAAGATAATTAGATGTACCTTTAAATTCTTTTCTCCTGGCGTCTGTCTTGTTATTTGAACCTTCAGATTATTGATTACGTGTCCCTGAGACATATCAATGTTCATATTCACGTCCCATGAGCGTACGGATTCATTTGTGGAAGCTGCTTTGGCGTCGAGGGTACCGCGTACGTTAATTTTGTGGCTACTAAGAGCGTGAATCTTGTCGTGAACGTGATCAACATCTTCCATATTAACTCTTACATTCAAATCGATCTAGAAAAAAATAAGGTCAAGATCACACCTTTTTCTTAAACTTAAGAAAATTTTAATTACTCACATGTGACGTAGGATAAACAATGCTAGGTTCCGCCTTTAAAAGCGTTCCGCAATTACCCATTTCCGGTGAGATGTACTCGTTGATTAGTTTTTGACGAATGCCCATGATGTATTGAATAAGCTTCGAATTCCTAACGAACAAATCGCAACATGATAACTTCTTTTTATTGACAATTAAAATTCATCAAGTCTAACTCCAAATAGCATTTCTTTTGCAATGCTGTAGAAAAAAATTGTAGCAACATTGCAAATCAAATTAATTTATTATTTACCAAGTATTTTTATGTTCCGCGGAGAGCATACGCTGCCATTCCTGAGCATCGGTCACTGGAGTGATCCGGTTTTCGCAATCAAAGACCGACATGGTGTATTTAAGACCCATATCTTTAGAATCTACGACGACGTGATGATTTTTCTTCTCGCCGGTGGTGACGACCGTGTGATGATGACAAGTAGCGCAGCAGGTCTTAAGAATATCCTGCTCGTCCTCGGTGATGGTCACCAGATTCTTCGCGTAGGATCGTATTCCAGTGTTCGATACTTTGGTGACTGGTAATCTCGGCATGGTAATCTTGAGGCTCTTCGCCTCGTGATTGTAACCGACGCTCATTTCTACGGGCAAGGCAACATCTTGGACAGTGGCACGGCGAATCGAGTGCCAAACGTCGACGATGGGATTGTAGATTGACATAACATATTCGCCATGCCTCCATATACGAGCGTCAACGTTGAGATTCATGTTCACGGATGGTTTCTTAACCTCGGTACGAACGTTGTTGAACTTCAGCGACCACAATTGAGGCATCTTAGTACTGAAGACTCCCTGCAGACCCATATCGGTGGGCACCTGCATCTCATAAAGAGTGTCGTACATAATCTCTTGGAAATTGCCGACCATCGTTTGTTTCAGTTGGAACGTATCGTCAAATACGTTCTTGAAGGTGTTCTGGTCATAGTGATTGGCAACGATAACTTGACCGTTCAGCGTGATACAGATGTCGACGTGGATAGGTCTCTTCACCGGCATGTCCTGAGCAGCGAGAATCAAGATATTCTGTACGTTCTTGTTATTGAGATTCTCTACTGTGGTGCCGACTAATTCCTTCTTGATCACCTTCATGATCTCGTCCATGCCGTAGGCGCTCCAGTAGATCTAGAAAAATTATAGAAATTTGTATAAATAATAATAATAGCAATTTTAATCAATTATAATAAATTATATATGCTATTTGTAAATTGTTTGGATTTTGTAAAAATTGCTGTTTTACGATAACATTTGACCGTACACGATTGATAAAGATGCCACTTCTATTTTTAAAAGCTTTTAACAAAACAAATCAATATTTTATCAAACTTATATTAATTTGGCATATTACTTACGCCAATTTTTTCAACGGGTTTACGAGCGACCGAGACATGATATTCGACGAATCCAGCGTGTGGTGTACCGGTCGTTTCGTCGAGAACCCAGGCGGTATTCCAAGATTCACCGTGCTCATATATAGGATCCGTGTAGTCAATAAATTGCTTAGACGCGAGCTGAGAGGTAACGGGTCTGATTTTTGTGAACCGTAAAACTTTTGTGGCCATTTCGCGAATTGGCGCGAGACAAGGATCCACGGAATTAGCGAGACCTTTCAGAGTAGTAATATGATAATTGTACAGATGATTGTTCGGTTCGTAGACCATGAGCCAGTGGATATTCATGAGACGTTGCATATTCGGCATCTGACTCATCAAGACATCATAGGCGACAATCCTGATGGGTAATGGTTGAGTGACATCAGCGAAAATAGGCCAGAGCAGATTGTGAGTGTATTCGACTTTATTAGCAACTGCCTTCTTGATAGCCCAGATTGCTTGAACGCGAATATGATGCGGATTCTCGGATATTGTAACATCTCCACGAATAATCGGCTCCAAAAGTTTTTCGATGTTGCCCACTTGTACGTTCCTTATTGCCATCAGATACACTATTTTCATCTCGTACGATTGCTCGTCTGAAACATTTGCGGAAATGCAAATACGTGAAATTAATATACAAAAATGAAATTAAATGAAAGATTCAGAATAAAGATACATCACAATTTATAAAATTCATTTTAAATATATGTATTTAATAGGGAATTTTATAAGTAATTTTAAGATTCATTTTTATACGTCTAACGTTTAATATACAAATACTTACTCTTGACATGATCGAAGAAACGGTGAAGATATCTCTCGAGAAGAGGATATCTCTTGATATTGAAAACGTCAATTTGCTGATGTATGAACACCTTGCGAATCAAAATAGAGAAGCAGAAGATACTGGTTTTTCTGACTTGCGGTGACACGGTGTTATCGAATTTCAACAAGTCTTCCATTTCCAGGAGCAATCTTTCGGACGGTACTTTGACATGCATCGGCAATTTCACCAACATTGCAATGGCAGTTGCGTCACTTACTTTGTGCTTACGAATAACATTTCGTGTGAAGTGGCAGGCAGCGGTTGTGCCCACAGTTGGAATCATTCGCAGGAAGATGTTCCTTTAAAATCACAGTTATTGTTTTGTTATTTTAAACAAAATTATAGATTGATTAGTTTAAGCAAAATTATGGAATTAGATATTATTTGTATAAACTTGTAATCATTACTTTTTTGTAGCTCCTCTAATGTTATATAATTACTTCTATTGCAAGATTGAAAATGTAACACATTAATTGTAACGCCGCTACTATTACAATTGTTTTTTTAATAGTATTGATAATGATATTATATTTTTAATAACAGCAACGATAATAAAGTTATATTTTTTAAAAAATAATGGTAACAAATATAATTTCTATTTTGCACACGTAAAATTATTATGCTCTACACATATGTACAGAACAGGCACAGTAAATTTTAAAAAAAGATTATCAGAATTTGATGAAAAAGTAACGGAAATTGTAATGTCTTTTTATTACTCCTCGAATAATAATAATACTAATGAGTTGCTTTTTTTTATTGAAACAAAAATAATTGAACAAAAAATAATTTTTTTTATAGGTAATAATTATTCAAAAGTAACTTTCTCAATCTTGCTTTATTGTAAAGTGCAATGATTGCATACTACTTACTTCATCGTAATTTCCTTAGGTATTTTCGTATCTTGAAGAGCGTTATAAACTTGTTCCAATGAACCCAAATCCATGTAACTCATAGTGTGTTGCAGTCTGTTGATAGTTTGTCCGTGTTTCCAATCAGGTTCCTTGGCATCCAAATGATTTTCGTCGAGATAATCAGCGGCTTCAGCTAACATCTTTTTAAGTTTAGGCATAAGCGCGTCCAATTTAACAATATGTCGGCCATGAGTGAGATCTTCAGCAGCATGGAGAGCATAATTTCCCAACGGTTTGTTAAAAGTGATGTCGCGAATGATAGGCACGTTCTGAACATTCACGGCTAATACAGGAACTTCCGTCATTGGTACCACAGAATGCAAATCCAAAGTAGTGCTGAAATAACAAATTAAATTAGCATAATTGTCAGTGCAATAGCACTGCTACTATAATGATCATATAATTACTTGGTCAAGAGATAGTGAGCTTCAGATCGGCCATTGTAAGGGAAATAGTTGATTACAGAGTCAGCAATTAGACGTTCGATGAGAATATTATTGTTCTGCTGTTTGATCTCGAAAACTCTTCTGGCAGAAGTAGTTATATCGTCCTAAAATTAAAAAGAAACATAACTTATTTAAATTCAGTTTATTCAATTAAAATTTTTAACAAAGATAAGTAATTTCAAGATAAAGTAATAAAAATTTACCACAGACTCCACATGACATTTCTCGCATTCGACATGATCAAAAACACGCTGAACAAAGTGGCTGCAATTCTTCAAATCGTGCACTTTCGTGACCACGAAGACATTGGTGTTCTCATTGGAATTCACCGGAGTTTTCGGATGAACGTCATAGGCGACTTGACAGGTACCATGGATGGTGTTCTAGTGGTAACAACCAAAGAGAACATTTTGAAACAGACATGCTTTTGCTGGATGTTCCCATCAGTCGTTACCTACCTCGTGTGTAACGAAACTGTGAGGCTTCATTGGAGTTTGCATCTGTATGTGAGCCAGATCCAGTTGCAACATCGAGGCGATACCTTGTTTGATGTTCTTGGACCAACCGCTCTCGGTTGTTCCAGTTTTGATTCCTTGAAACTGAAATTAAATATTTAACCGATCCAAAATTTCTTTATGTAATGAATGATCTTTATGTTAAGCTGTCACATTGGAACTTGGAATATTTACCGTGCCACGTTCGTCGTAAACGATCACGAATGGTTCTTGAATTTGCTGTGCGGCATCTCCGAGTTCATGAAGTACTTCGATCGGTTGATGATGTACAACCATGCCGTTGTACATGCCATATTTTACGTTGTTTAGTTTGACGTAATAGGCATTATTTAAAGTCGGATCACTGACATCCTTTTTTATGTGAAGTTGTCCATTGAGAGCAAACTGGGAGATGTACTGCGCTGGTTCGATAATCCCGGCTTTTACGTCGGCATAGTAATTGTAAATTACCGTTTTCTCAATAGGGAAGTGCACTGTAATATTATGCCGACATGAAATATTGCAAATTAATTTAAACTTACTATGATTTTGTTCTTAACGAATTCAAACTCTATAGCTATTCATTAATTAAAATAATTTCATTAATTATTAAATATAATGATCTGTACGATTTTAAGAAAAAAATATCAGAATAATTTTGTATTTAATAAATCACTAAAGTGTTTGCGTGTGTGTGTGTGTGTGTGTGTATTGAATTACTTATGTTACATATAAAAACTATAATTTGCAAAGTGATATTGCAAAAATAATTAAATCTTTTTGAAGAAAATAATTTTAGTATCTCTGACTTTTATTTGCATAAAGTGTCTGGTTATATTAAAAGAGATAAATATATCGCACAGCTACAAGATACATTTTTCTAATTATTTCTATTAAATATTATTAAGTAATAAATTGAATGAATAAAAAAAATTTTGTGTAGAATAATTAACTTATATTTAATTAAACATTAAATATTTTATCAGTAAATTATTTTTTAGTTTTTATACACAGAAATTTTTTTAACTTATTTAGCAAAGCAATATTATTTCACTTATTAGTAACTATCGTTATTAAACATTAAAAATACAATTTATTTACAGTAATTTGCATATTCTTTTACTAGTATTTTATAAAAGAAGGAAAACAGAACTTACCTGGCACCGCACATGCGGCCGCTAGGCACAGCAAAAATACTGAAAATATTACATATATTGTAACATAACGCACTATGCACTTAAAAATACCTAAACTTTAGATTCAGAAATAAAACAAAATGAAACGAAATTGCAAGAAAATATAAAATATTAACCAACTTGTTTATTAAATAATTTTAAAATTGTATATATACATATATATATATATATACACATTTGAGAAAATTACATAAAAATGCAAATAATTTCTTAGAAAATATCTTTGCTTTTTTGTTAAAATTCAATAGTTGAATAAATTGAAAGGTAAATGAACAGTTGTATAATCGAACACCTATGTTCCTCACAATAATACACATCGCACTTGTTAGAATTGCAAAAAATAAGAGAAAAACAAATTCTGTTGGAGCGCAACTCTCGGAGATCGATTTAAAGGCACGGAAAGCACTTCTTCGATGGTAAATGACTTACCAGTAAGGGCTTTCATCATAGCGTGATCCCTGATGTAAGACTGGTAACGTACGCGAAATCCAACCGTTTTTATAGGGCTCAAAGTTCTGCAATTGCCGGTAAAATGTAAAAGTGCAAGCGAACCGATAACCCCACGATGAAAGGGTGTGTTACACACTACGGAGAGAAAGAGAAAGTGGATCACACCGGTATAATCAAGAAGATAACCCCTTTCGGGCATCAAATCGCTACAGCTGTTAACGTATTAAAAACGCACATGAGTATATTAAAAATAATTCGCGTATCGGACCGATCGTGATTGAGCCCGTACTTTTTTCCCCGTCAACATTTGTCTTTGCCAAGAAAAACTTCATCCTTCTCCCTCTTTTTCTGTCTTTAAATTACTCACTACATTTTGCGATTTTATCCTTACATGCACGCTATGCATATAATAATCGCGTCACCGCTCTTCAATGATTTGTGTGCACCGGAAAAGAGTAAACTCGTCGAACATTTCTGGGGACACTACTACAGTCCGAAAGGTCGACAATTATGAGATAAAAGCGGCAATGAAACTGTAACTGAATGAAGTATATTTGAAAGAACGTCATTGTAAAAAGCCGACTTCGCAAAAAAATTATGAGATGTGAATAGCCGGAATAAAAATGTTAGAAGAAATACAATATTAAGCTGCTGCTCGATGGAGAGATGATCGGCCGACACGATTATACAAAAAACGTGGTATTAATTTTGCGTATTATTAATTTTGAAATGTGATTTACTATTGAGAAGAATAAAAGAATAGCTTTACAATTTTATCTTGTGAGAAAACTGTTATTATTAACATAAAAATGATTAGGAAATTTAGATTATTATTAATAGTAATAAGTAATTTGCTCGTCCCCTCGTTTATCAATCATAGGAATTAAATTCTTGTTTACTACTTAAAACATTTAGTAAAGTAATAGCAAAGCAGTTTAGTAACTCTTTTTCTCTTTATGACATATTTGTACATTAATTATGACAACACAAGTAATTACTGTCGCAAAGTTAAATGGATAATTTTTCCGTTGATCGTATAAATTAAACAATTATCGACAGTTCGATAAAATGAAAAAAATTAAAAATGATTAAAAAACTAAAATTAAAAAACGATTGCGTGTTTATCAGTGCTTTTACGTAATAACAACACAACGTGTATAAAATACATTATCTGTCGTTTCGCACAAAGTATCTCAGAAGCATTAAATGTCCTTTTATTGACAGGTTCTTTGGAATCGATTTTTTTCGAGCAAATATGCCGAGCATTATTTATTGCAATTTTTCGATCTTTTCTATCATATATCTTTGTAATTGCCTCTCGAATTCTATGAAAGTAAAATTCTATGAAAGTATTTTACCTGATATTAATTGAAAAATAGTTTGATGCGAAATTTATTTGAAAAAATATGCTCTGTTTCTAGTTTCTTGTATTTCGAAAAATAATTAATATTCTAATCTTTTCTAAAAAAAATTGACTTTAAATTGAAGAATCTGTCATTAAAAGAATATCTGATTGTGAAATATAGTTTTAAGAAACTCTAAATTATTATTATTCTTACTTGCAATTTTATTTACGCTCGTAAGTAATCTTTTTATTAAATAATAACTATATTAAACAAAAGAATTATTTTTATTTTGCGAATTATGTAAAAATAAAACTCACACTAGATTCTTCTTGTTAGATTTAAATATGTTTTTAATTCTTTTACATTATATATAGTTTAAAAGTGCATATTATAAAAAATATAAAATTGTAATAATGTTATATTAATTTTGAATATAATTATTATTATATTTATTTTTATTATATTTTATTTAGGAAGCATTATTTTTGAGTAAAAGTAATTAACTGTACATTTGAATTATATATTAATTAGCTACTACTAATAGCTAATTTTATTTCCTCAATCAGTACAGATATTGCCATTTTTACAAATAAACAGTTTTATAAAAAATTTATTTTCGCTATGCACACGACAAAAATTGATAGTGTTATTTCTAATGCTAATTGATTAAAAATACATATCCATTTTTAAAATCTTATGAAAAAATTTGTTGATAAATGTTCTAGATAATGCTATGTTGTATCATATTATTTCTTTTCATTTTTATACGTTTACTCGTATTTTAAATAACATTTATTTCACGCACATATGCAATCGCGATAAATTGATAAATAAGAAAATTGAACAGCGGTGGTTATTATTATACGGTTCTAATTAGTGAGTACTTGCGTACAAGAGGTATCGGTTTGTATGATTAATAATATCTACTACTGGATGATTAAAATATATATGTTTTCATTTTTTAATTTGTTGCGTCACATAAGATTTACAAGATAGAAGTCGTTCAGTAATGTATCGCATGACCCATCGAAATTAAAATTATCAGATTCTCAGTCGTGAGGTATCACGGTAATTTCAAGATTGCTAACAAATGGTTCCATATGTTTCCGGTGCAATCCGACTATCATTGAAATGCGTGTGTTGTTTTTGGCGAGGAATCACCTTTGATAAATTAAACGGATATCGTTAACATTATAGGTCAGAGCGTAAATTACAAAGTGAAGACAAAACAACGCAAACCTCGCCACTCTCCAGCTTTAAGAAGATTTTAAAAACGAATTTACATGTCAATTATCTTTACTACTTGGTATGAATAGATTTTATAAGAATAATATGAATATTTTAAAAGTGCTTCTATAGTTAATTAGTGTAAAATTGTAAAAAAAAAGTTTCTTCTTTTAAAATTATTATAAGTGCGAAGGGGTAAAATATATCCTTAGAGAAGAAAGACTTGAAGAAGACAAAGCTCATGGAAGAGATAATAATTTTATTACATATTACTGCATATTATTGTAATAAATTAAATCTGTATATTGTTTGTTAAATAATCTTTTAGTTTTTCCAGCGCTTTGCTGCGATGAGAAATCTTGTTCTTCTCTTCCTTTGGCAATTCCGCGTAAGTCTTATCGTAACCCAGCGGTTGGAAACAAGGATCCCAACCGAAATCCCTTGGACCTCGTGGGTTTACGATAGTACCCTGAGTTCGACCTTGGAATAGATGAACTTCAGAATTTTCGCCGGAACAGTAACCGAACGTGCAAACCGCCTCTGCCGATTTATCTTCAAAACCAAAGAGCATTTTATGAAGACCTTCGGGGCCCAGTTTTTCGAGGAACCATTTGATATAAGGTCCCGGAAGACCTTTCAGCGCGTTAAAGCAGAGACAAGTATCTTCAATGATCACCGGACCTTTCACCAAGTTCGCTGCGGCCCGACACTTATCTCGACATATATCATCTACCTCGCCCTGATACTCAGGCAGATCAATCTTCCTGCTCATTATCTGTCGAGGAAAGTCCTTTCCTAAAATAGCAATAAACTCCTCCAGCTTCTTCACATTGCCTGTTACGAATACTATAGGCGACGACATTCTGCAAAGACATGTGAATATGCTAAGTACAATGTATGTTATTTTAATTAGAAAAATATTAAGAAAATAATATTAATAATTTTATATATAATATTAAACATATATAATATTATAATATAATATAATATTATGATATAAATATATATAATATTAATATTTAACATTAATATTTAATATTATCTGATCCAATTATATAAAAAAATAATTAAAATTGAAATAATAATATATAATTGATCAATTCGTAACAATATAAAGCGTATTAAATCCTTATAAAACTTATAAATAAAGAAGAAATTCATGATAAAGATGTGAAAATATTTAATTATAGAATTTCCTGTTTTTTAATAGCTTATTCCGTTTAATATCACAAAGAATTTGAGTTATTTATATGGTATTTGATAAGATAACTTTGTAATATTGTTTACCATGTTGAAAACGCTACTCATTGTTGAAGAAAAATTTATCACTTGAAAAAACCCACCATTTTCCTTGTATTATTAGTTAGTTGTGAGTTCAGTGCACTTTATATCATAAGGATAAACCATCTCTTTCAGTTTAAATTTTATCTGTAGACTTTAATAAAATAATATTTCTTATATTGGATTTTTAAATTTGATAAATTGAAAATAGTAGTCCAGAGATCCAATTAAATAATCGGAACTTTCAAGTGTTATATAATTTTATTGTAAATTTCTATATTATTTAATTTCTTCTCAAACCCGCGCGTTTTTTACATTTTTCACGTTGGCAGCTTTTGCACTGAATTGTCTAGTAACGACGCACGTTGTAGGCTTTGACATGACTTTGACACATTTGATTTGTATTATTATGGATTAATCCCGGGATAATATGATGGCGTATTCTAAATAATAAGCTGCTCTTGTTAGACGCATCTTTGATTTACGGAAAAATTATTACCTTCTTAATTAGAATACTTTTACTCGTTAAAACTCGTTGTTGTCCTAACCAATAAATCCACTGCAGGCAACGTTTTCGTTTTTCGATCAAGCTTGCCAACATCACTCGATGAATTGCGAAAGACACGTTGATTTCGTTCATTATCTAAATAGAAAATAACTTCAATAATGAGAACAAAAAACAATTAAATGTAATATAATATTTTACTTTTTACATACAGAATCATTTTATATCGTTTTGCATTAAAAAAATACAAGTTCTTACGTGGTTTTTTTTCGCCGCGTATGGCGCTTCGATAAGTTTGACATTCAATACGCCATTCTTGCCATTTCTAAATGGTTATGGTCGGCTTGGTATTTAGAGTAGTATCAGTAGTATAGCGTGTATCATTTTGGGCCCGTCCAAAAATGCCGAGTCAAGAAGTCGTGACAACGAAAGTTGTGGTTCACCCATTGGTGCTGTTGAGCGTGGTGGACCACTTTAATCGCATGGGAAAAATCGGAAATCAAAAGAGGGTAGTCGGTGTACTCCTAGGCTGCTGGAGGGCGAAGGGGATCCTGGATGTATCAAACAGCTTTGCAGGTTAAGATCAAAAAATTGACTATAATATTCCTCAAAATGCTTATATTCACAGTCAAATCACTTTCCTTTTGTTTCTCACACATAAAGACATAATAAATAAGTTAATAAACGTTTTTATTGTTGAAACTGAGTGCGATAAAGAGATAAATCCTCATGTTTTAGTACCCTTTGATGAGGATGATAAAGACAAAAGTGTATGGTTCCTTGACCATGATTATCTTGAAAATATGTACGGGATGTTCAAGAAAGTTAATGGTAATAGCTTTAAATAATTTATGCAGATTCTATTTACATACATTATATTTCGAAGCAAGAATTTTGATTGTGATATCCTATGTTGACACTTAGCTCGCGAGAAGGTGGTAGGCTGGTACCATACTGGACCTAAGCTACATCAAAATGATGTTGCCATTAACGAATTGATAAGAAGATACTGCCCTAATTCCGTTTTGGTGATTATCGATGCCAAACCAAAGGATCTTGGACTTCCTACCGAGGCATATCAAGCAGTTGAAGAAGTACATGATGTATGTTTTACAATATACATTATTAGATATATTATGTCACATTTGTTTAAAAAGGATATAAATGTTTAATAAGATTTTTATTCACAGGATGGTTCTCCTACCTCTAAAACTTTCGAGCACATTCCAAGTGAGATTGGAGCTGAAGAAGCAGAAGAGGTTGGAGTAGAACATTTATTGCGAGATATCAAAGATACCACCGTTGGTACCCTCAGCCAAAGAATCACAAATCAATTACTTGGTTTGAAAGGTCTTCATGAACAAATTCGGGAAATTAGAGATTATCTGCTTCAGGTATATATCAATAACTAATAGAAAATGTTTTATATTAATATATATATATATATATATATATAAAACTGCAAAATTATCTAAATAAATATTTTTTCTAGGTTGGCAATGGAAAATTACCTATAAATCATCAAATTGTTTATCAGCTTCAGGATATCTTTAATTTATTACCAGATATGACTCAAAGTAGTTTTGTCGATTCGTTATATGTCAAGACAAATGATCAAATGCTTGTTGTATATTTAGCAGCATTGGTTAGATCTATAGTGGCGTTGCACAATTTAATTAACAATAAGCTGACCAATCGTGACGCTGAGAAAAAAGAAACAGATGGAAAGAAGGATACAAAAAAGGAAGAAAAGAAGGAAGAGGAAAAAAGGGAGAGGAAAAGGCGAAAACTAAAAGTCAGTGATCCGAGCAGTTTTGAGACTGTTAAAGTCCCATTTGCAAGATTGAGACTGTTAAAGTTGAGGACAATTGATGACTCAGTGTGTAATAGTCAAGCCTGTTCGCAATTTGTACAGAATTATACCCCATTTATAAATAACAGTTTAAATATGTATTAGAAACAGCAAATTGATTCCTGGACTGTTCTGGCATAATTCTATAAATTTTTAATATTAAGCGCAGGAAAAAATAAAATGATAATTCAATAATTCTGTATTTTAAATGTAATGAAGTAGTAAATATAACGAAAAATTTACGGTTAAGATATTTTTACAACATATTGTAATCATTACAATATTTTCAGTTTGTTTTAATTAACAATTTGTTAATATAAACAATAGTATTCTTTGGATAACGAGGCATATTTATTTATTTTTTTTTTATTTTCTCCATTAATAATTTAAATAATCAATGCAGTCTTTTCAAGTGTTTCGGGCGTGTCGCTTAAAACTTAAGTACCAATTAACATATATGATAGGTATGAATAATATAATTTTTAGAAAATATAAGTCATTCTATTAAGACATTACATTAATAAAATGATCTTTTGCTTACATTGTTTTAA